AAGAAACTATGACTGTATCCCATGAAGGCCCCAGCCAGGAGAATAAAGAGATGATACTCATTCAGACAGGTCACTACTTCACCACTACAGAAGCAAACACAAAATAAGGGACAGTTATTATTCACATATTGTTAGAATTTTCATAAAGCAAAAAAGTATGTCATTAAAAAACAAACACAGACAGAGACAACATTTCATATTTATTTTAGAGGTGCTCTTGGCCTATATTAGGGTAAGACTGACCTCCTGGTCATTTTGAGATAAGATTACTCACAGAGTTAATTAAAACAACTTAAGATAACTGTATGAGTGTCAATCTCTTTGCCTGGGGTCAAAAGAGCCGCAGTGCCTAGAATGCAATTAATGAAACCTGATCCTCTGAGCACAACGACGGGTCATTGTATGTGGGTCAAACAGAATCGGGTCATAACCCACCTCTCGCTTTGCCTGCAGGGAGTTCCAAGAGTGCTGTAACGTCCACCGATGGTAACAGAAGCACACCACATTACCAGCATGCCCATGGTGCAGTAGACCAAAGAATGGACACACTGTCGAGGGTGGAGCACCGTCCCCAGGAGAGCCATGCGTGAACATGGAATTGCGGGAACCACTTAAGGACACACAAAGAGTGAAATAAATAAGTAATCTGCATACATTTTATTACAACGCAATAATAGCAAATGTGATGATTTTGCACATCCATAAAAGACAAATCTACTCACAAGTGTAGAACTCCAGGTTAAAAAAGCCAGTGATCAGAACCACCCCACACAGCACCACAAGGGAAAAGACGGTGCTTGAGGCCGCAAGAAGACTTGTGCAATCTGTAACCAATGTTTGAGATGCTGACTAACGTACAATTCAGATATCTATCAACCATATAAAGCATACATATGTGATGTGAATTTCCAAATTAATATGACAGTTTTTACTTTTTTAAGCAAGTAAAATCTAAAAATGTTCCCCTTCAGGTTGTGGTACACATCTCTTTGCTGGGAAATATTTACTGGTTTATATAAAGCGAACATAAGAACTTTTATATTGTTGGCAATATTTCAAGACAAAAATTTACTGGATTGAATCAACTTGGGTTTACTTGATTATTTATACATCACATTTAATAAAAACACATGTTAAATGTGAGTATCAAACATGATACATCAGGCTTTTGAGGAAAATGTATTTGTACATCTCTAAGTCATTATTGTATTGCATTGCATGTTTTGCACACCACACAAAATACAGAGCTATATATAATAATAAAACTAAGCATTTAAATATCATGATGACATATTTTTGGGTTACAGAGTGTAGCTTGTTATACTGTTACAAATATCTTTGACTTACATTACAAGCTAATAAAATCCAGATGAATCCAATATGATACGAAACATAAAACACATAAGCAAACATTTTTAATTGTCCAAAGGAATCAATAACCTGTTACAAAAAACATTCTCACTATTATTTCATTAATCAGGCTTTAGAGGGTTTAGAATATGTATTATGTCCCTTGAAGTCAGAACTACTGCTTATATAAATAATGAATTCACACTCGAGCACTTCTCAGTATCAGTAACGTATTGTAATTATCCATTTTGTTAGACACTCGTACTCGTTTCCTCACCTGAAATCCATTGGATGGGGTGAAAAAGGCTGAATCTGCTCAAGAGCACAAAGACTGCAGCTGTCACTGGCAAGAGAAGCACTGACCATGCAATACTCGCCACAGCCCTCCATATCACAACCTGAAAATAAATGAGATGAGAATCTGGTCTAGCACAGGCACATTTCATACATCCTTTCAGCCTCAAACACAATCTTTCTACGATAATAACGTTTATTCTAATAACGCACAAACAATTAATATATACTTAAATACACGATCACTTCATAAACAGACACCAGAAGACACAAAACATGTCACTATAACAGTACATGATGATGTCCAGAAGTCTTGTAACGTTACATACACTGCTGACTAAACACTGACTTCCTAATTAGTTAGTTGCCGTTCAGTTATTTAAACACGATTTATATTTAACCAGTCCTTACCTTTCTTATAAACCAAGAATTCTGTTTCAGAGAAAACATTTTATCATTCTTGTTTCAGTTCAGCATCACTAGAGTAAAATCCATACCAACATGGCTAAAGTGTGGACATTACCCGCGCCACACATTCGAAGGACCTCATAAGGACCCCTGCGAAAGTGTCTGACTTACTGCCTGAATACAATCCCACTTAACGGGATAGCTGCTCACCCCAAAATTTAAAAAATGCGCCATTATTTGCTCATCCACATGTGACTTTCTTTATTCTGTGGGACATAAAAAGAAGATATTTGGAGAAATGTGTGTGTGTTTTTTTGTTCATGCAATGGAAGTCAAACGTAACGTTAAAAGGTTTGGTTATCAGCATTCTTCGAAATTTTTTCTGTGTTCTGTAGAGTAACGTTATCAGAAAAGTCTTAATGGTTTGGAAAGAATTTATGATGAGTAAATGTTGACTAAATTTACATTTTTGGTGAACTATCCCATTAAAGAGATGTGAACTCTGCGCAAATTTATAGCTGTTCTTTTCAAAAGATAATACTATTGTGAAGCACATTATTCAACCTTACAAATATTAAATAATTAATTGTATCACTTAATTACAACATTATCCTAACTAAAAAGGAAAAATCTGAATAAAATGATATAATTACATTTATATTTAATGTTAAACAATTTCATTATACACAATGTTTTGAGGGCATTACATCAAACAGCAGTTTAGAAAGACTGTAATAATGGGTCGATACATAAGAAATAATTATGGTACAGTAACAAAGTCCTCAATGTTTCGGTTGTTTCAATCAGGTTGTTGCTTAATCATTTTAAACATACTAAAAACTATATATTTAAAAAAAAATAATGCTGTAAGTTGAGGCATTGAGCAGCATAATGACGCGTAGACAGACACACAAATGTTGCGTGAAATAATAATCGTCAGTTGTGTATTCCTTTCGCTTCATTCTGAATGAAAGCGTTTTTCTCTCGATGAGTGCCATTCGCTAAAGTGATGTTGCGTCTTTCCAGACTGGTTCTGCTTTTATCGATCTCTCGGCGGGTCTTGGTCTCAAATGCGTTGGTGGGCAATATCTGTGTTGAACTGACGGACATCTCCGTCTGGACGCCTTTATGCAGCAGCGGTTTTTGCCCGGGTCTCTGCGGTATGGCGGGCAGTGACAGCTGCTCCCGCTGAGCCTTCTTGTCCTCCCAGAGCTTCAGAAGACGCCGCTGGTTGTTGGTCATGTCCTTCAGGTTCTGTTGCAGGGACTGGACCTGGTCCTCCAGCAGAGTCTTCGAGGTCACGGTGTTGGCCAGTTCAGATGTTATTTCATCAACCGTCAAACTTAATTTACCCGCTTTTTCAACAAGTGAATTGCACTCGCGCTCCTTCTCGTGCAGGTCGTTGATTATATCCTTGGTGGTTTTCCCGTAAAATTTAGGACTGGCCTCTAAACCAATTTCAGCCCGCAGGACCTTCACTTGTTTCCGCAGCTCCTTGTTGTCCAAAGTCAGTTGCTTTAATTTCTGTTTAAGCGCTTCGGTTGATCTCATCCGGGACTCGTATTGTCTCATTTTCTCCCTCATCGTATTCTCGCGGTGCAAAGCATCGTCTCTTTCCTTCCGACACTTTTCCAAAAGCTTTAAAGTTTCGTATTTGGACACCTTTTCCACTTTCCCAGCCATCATTCATTTGCAGTTTTAAATGCAATATTGAAAAGACATGTTCCTTGATACAGGTCGTCAGGTCAAATCCTCTTGAAATAGGTTTTCCATTTGCAAGTCATCCAAATAATGTCAGGAGATACCTGTGAATTCAATGATCCAAAAATAAAGCCTCCTTATTTTTAATCCACAGTGTAAAGGGAAACGGTGACTTGTGAGGCTGACATTCCTTCACAAAGGTTGTAGGTTTGGGAGGCAGCTTCGGTGTAACTCTAAGCTAAGGCTAGAATGACCATTAATTAGGGCACACCACACATTGGCACAGTTTCAAGTGACACAAATTTTCTATTTTGTTAATTTGGAAAATGTAGCCGAGCCATTTCATAACGCCAATGCCAACTTGAAAAAAAACAATAATTATTTCTGTTTAAGCGCTTCGGTTGATCTCATCCGGGACTCGTATTGTCTCATTTTCTCCCTCATCGTATTCTCGCGGTGCAAAGCATCGTCTCTTTCCTTCCGACACTTTTCCAAAAGCTTTAAAGTTTCGTATTTGGACACCTTTTCCACTTTCCCAGCCATCATTCATTTGCAGTTTTAAATGCAATATTGAAAAGACATGTTCCTTGATACAGGTCGTCAGGTCAAATCCTCTTGAAATAGGTTTTCCATTTGCAAGTCATCCAAATAATGTCAGGAGATACCTGTGAATTCAATGATCCAAAAATAAAGCCTCCTTATTTTTAATCCACAGTGTAAAGGGAAACGGTGACTTGTGAGGCTGACATTCCTTCACAAAGGTTGTAGGTTTGGGAGGCAGCTTCGGTGTAACTCTAAGCTAAGGCTAGAATGACCATTAATTGGGGCACACCACACATTGGCACAGTTTCAAGTGACACAAATTTTCTATTTTGTTAATTTGGAAAATGTAGCCGAGCCATTTCATAACGCCAATGCCAACTTGAAAAAAAACAATAATTTATCTAATTAATCTAATGACTGTGGTGAATAAAGGCTAAAAGTGCACTGCTGATGGTGCTCGGAGATATACGAAACTTTGCACTGTATCAGATACTGGCATCAAAGACCAGATAGATTTGATCTATGACAATAACCTTTGTTTGTGAATCTTAATGATGCTGAGAGGGAAATTCTATGATCTGCTTCTAAACCACTCGGCTATCAGTATCATCATCAATCATTGAGACATTATAAATGGAAAAAAACTTTGTACGCTCAGTATATGCTCGCCATTTTGGTCTGTATTTGTGTGCATGTAATTTTAAAAGGGGAAAAAAGCTGCTAAATATTTATTACAATGTGACGTCTTGGAATACAGTTAATTGTTCAGGCATTTTATGTTCTAGGCTAGTATCTTGTTTAAAGAAAAGGCATAGATCTAGTTACAAATCTCACAAAAATATACAGAGTAAAAATAATAGCAAAAAAATAAAATCAATGGCCACCACAGAGAACTGAACATTTGTCAAATATTTAAATAAACTGTAGCTTTGACTTTCAACTTTATTAAAATGTAAATAAGTAATCAGTTTTTGTTTATGTGCAATTCAACTCATATTTTATTTTTCCCATCCCTTTTTCTGCTGGACCTGTAGTTTTATAAAGTGTTCAAATATTTTAAGTACATATACACGTTCCAAAGTGGTATAGAAACAGGAGAGTGACCTTTTGAAAACCATCTCAAGCTCAATTATCACATAAATATTTAAACCACAGCTACACAGTATATACACATGTCCTCTACTTTGTAACAGCAACATGTGTCTGAACCTCAAATCAGAAAACATCAAACATGTAGATGATTATCTCCAGGTTTCGCTGCTCACCTACAAACATAAACATACCAAAATGAAAGCTTTACTTTCACAGACTATAAGATGAAGAAATCCAGAAAACCCACAATCTCATTATCAAGATAACCGATTCTCTCTAATAAGGCAAGAGGAGAAGCTGCAATTACAGAAGAATAACAGTCTCTCGAGGAGCACAGATTATGTACAGGAAGTCCTGTCTCATGTTAACACCTCATCAAATGCAAATGTCTTATTTTCTCACCAGCAGCTACAATCAAATGACACTCTGCTCATCTAAAAGTCTTAAAGTGCTGGCATTTCTATGCCATTTCATCATTATTAAAAAGCACATGAGAGAGTGCGCCACTGTCACCTCACTGAAGTCCTGTATTTACCCAAGGCTGTAATTCACTTTGGCTTTGTGGATGATGAAGTGTTGGTCGCTGTCGATGGCTCATTGTGATCCTTTGATGGATCCATCTCATATGTACTGAAGAAACATGCCTGAAAAAAGAGAGAGGGCACAAATCTTTCAGACTCTGACAGCACTTTTGTCCCCTAAACACTGCATTCCCTATCCCTAATTAAATGAATGTAATTGACGGCACATGATAGCCATAAGGACATGGTTCTGCTCTCAAACTGGCATGTTTCCAAGCCAGTCATTGACTATTGCTGGTGTTTCCAAGAACACACCCTTCCACTGGGGAAACACATTTGACACCAACCTGTTTGATCCTTTAACGCTGCAAGAAGCAGTGCTAAAATGCTGACGTTGAGTTGCTAGAACAGCTACACAACTTTAGTTATAACATCTGTAGCATTTTTGCAACAGATGCAAAAAATTTATTTTAGACAAAGTTTTATCAAATATGTTTTGCTTGTATTGTTTTAGTACGTGCAGAATTATATGCATACATATTAGGATGCAATGATATTACAATACAGATAAGCCAGAAATAATTGTTTAAATGTTATACTATAATAAATTAGTTTGTAATATAAAATACTACAAACTAAAATCAATAATTTTAAATGCTACCAGTCACTCTAAGCATACAATTATAATGTACAGTATAAAAAAAATCGATATTCATTTTGAGATTTGATAAAGATCTTAATATTTAACAGTGTTTTATATTGTTAGTTAAATTAAAAAAACAAAAAACAATTTTAAGTGTGCATTAGGTTCCAGCAAAGCTCATTTAAATGTAAATATAAGGAAAAATAAGCATGCACAATTAAATATCCAATATTGATATATCAAATATGGACTGATATTGATGAATTCACTCGGTAACAAATATAGACCAATATATTGTGCATCCTGAATATGTTTTGTGTATTTTGTTCATAATAGATAATGTTAATCACATTCATTCCTAATGTATAAAGATTCTTTAAAACATACCTTGCAACCAACTGCAAGCAGGACGTGAAGAATCACGATGGTGGATATAATCGCAATGGTAATCCTTGGTTTATCGTCCCTGATGGCTGGCCAGAACGTCATTACCAGCACAGATCCTGAGAGACACAAAGCTACCACGATGGAGCACCACCTCAACCCTTCACTTGGTATTATCCACAATATCTGTTTTTCACACAAATGCACACAAGCAAGTAAATAAACTGTAATAATAATAATAGAGAATGCTTGAAAATCATCTATCAAATGTGTTTATCACACCCAGATGCGGTAATTATGCACAGAATAATGCACATTATATTCATGTATATATTGTGACTATGACTCACCACAGCAGGGATGTAGATGGAGAGCGAGTAACCATAGACACACACTATCTGCAAGAAGGAGTAGGACACCAGGCTTGTGATCTTCCTATTTCGCCAGGTGAGAAAACCCCACAGAGCTAAAGGCACTAACCATGCGTAACTGTAGATTGCTGTGGCTGCCATAGTTACTGGAAAAGAAGCAAAAGAACCAGTGTCATTTTTAGGGTGAGGCCAGAGGGTCTATTTTGTTTGGGCTATTTCAAACAACATATCTCCAACCTTTGCTGAAGTCTGGCACATATCTGAACTTTGGCTGACCCTGGTTGACAAGAAAACTGGAGATGTTTCCACTAACAGCGATGGCAAAAACAAGAGTTGCACAGATCCAGAAAGGTCCTACAAAAGTAAACCACATACTCATATTAACTTTTTATAAACATCTTTCTTTTTGCTCTAAACAATTTTAGTTCAATTTAGCTTACCATACAGGTCCGGGTTACTCCGTAAATAGACCTCAACAAAGTTTTTCCCCGGCCAAGGCAGAATTGACCCAATTATTCTGTTCTTTACCTATATATGAAAACAGCGGCAATTTATATATTTTTTTTATTTAAAACAAATCAGAAAACCCTATATATAGAAAGTATATATTTGTGAAATACACAATGAATGCTTTTTAACTCTTTGAAATGATAATCACTGTAGTGTGAGGGCTGAATCCTACAGTAAAGATGGCTGACCTGATGACTGTCCACATCAAATAATGTCTGGTAATACTCAAACGTCCAGAAGGGTGCACTTTTTCTTTGACCTGACAGAAGCTGTTTGAGAAAGAAACATGCATTTTGAATCAGTGCTCCTTTTGAAGAAATAAAGACCTCCGATTATCTAGAGATTGTGTCCCACGGACCTCAGTTTTGTCATCGTTGTCCTCTTCTTCAAAAGCAGTTCCAGTAGCTTTCCGTTGTTTTCTAGATTTGATGGGCTCATCGATGGTCACTGTTGTGGCTCCTTGATTATTTTCTGTGAATCCTTGCTCATCTTCAAATTCTAGCACAATATAGAATTTTTTCCCCAAGAGCAATAAGCAGATTCCATTATCTTTTTTATTATTAAAAGTAACAGTTTGCCTTTCAAATAAGTATTTTAAGGGACTCACCTTGAAACTGCAAATGAAAATCAGTATTGGCCATCACAGATCTATGTGCTCTGTGAATGAAGGCATCAATAGAAAACAGATAAGCAGACAAGCTTTAGTTAATGCTATTGATACTGAAGATTGTTAAAGGTATATTTCACCCAAAATTAAAATCAATACTCTCATGTTGTTCCAAAAATCGGAACACAGAAAGATACATTAGGCAGAATGTGAGGGACTGACAGATTCAGTCACCATTCAGATTCACTGTATCTTCTTCACATTCAATGAAGGCTGTCGACCTTCCTAACATTTTCTTTTAAGTTCCCGTGGAACGGAAGTAACGTTAAGTGATGAATGAAGTTTAGTTTTAGGGTGAACTATCCTTTTAAGCATTAAGTTGTACCAACCATGGCTGACCTACCACTGTAACTGAAGTGTCTAATCACATGTATAGCAGAGTGACACTGTACAACCTGTTGACATTCAGACGTATGCGGATATTATACATCAAACAGAAAAATGCAGTTACAACGTAACAAATTGTTGTTTTAAGAATATGCATTCTCTCAGATGATTTTACATCGCCTTTTTATAGCAAAATAGGACCTCTAATGTTTTCGTCATGTTAATCAACTCACCAGTAAAAGCGTCTTGAATGTTTCAGGATTTTAAACTTTGTTTTGAAGGTGCGAAAATGGAAACGCGGAAATGAGGAGTGATAGTGATGCGTAGCAGAATAAAAGTCTTTACTTGTTCATAAATCAAATAAGCCCTTCAAATGATTTTTCACCTGGTGTTTTGCAACTTGTGGTAAAAATAGGCAGTAAGTAAGTAAATAAATAAAACATTAGAATGAAATAATAAAAACGTGGAGACCAATTTAAAAAATGAAAAGAAAAAAAACTAAACAATGAAAGTAACTAATATGGTGAAATAAAAATATGGGGGGGGGGCGAGTAAAATACATCAGAGTTGTAGCATAGGTAAAAGTTTTTAAACCTGTTTTTTTAATATACTGAAGTTATCTGCGACGTATACGGGCGTTTAAATACATTTTAGTGCGGATTTCAGTAACGACTTTTATTTTGTAATGTGCGTGAAACTCGACTTACAGGAGGGATGTTACTCCAAGAGCCCGTCGTTTTTAAATCTTTCTACATTTTACAAACTTCTCGATGTTTCCGTCAGTATACCCTTGATTCTCAAACGACAACCGAATATTTTGGACGCTAAACGCTCGGTTTGTGTAGAGAGCTGTAAGGATGTATGTTAGTGAGGGCTGTGGAGCTGTGTATGTCAGAGAGAAAGGAGAACTGCGGCGGTGTGTCAGCGCAGACAGGAATGATGCTCCGCAGCACAGACTCTTCTCCAGAGACTTCTCCTTTCAACTCTGCATCGACATTTTACCATCCGCGAGCCACACAAAGAGAAGAGACCACTTCATATTTACCTACAACAAAGAGGGCAGTCTGCGGTACACGGTGAAGTCTTTATTTGACATATCTTTACAGTTCATCGCTGATCATATCGAGCATGTGGACTCGCTGGTCGGTTTTCCTGAGCAAATGGCTGACAAGTTGTTCTCGGCCGCTGAAGAGAGACACAAATTCTCTGAGCCTCAGACTGCACCCAGAGCACTGCAGGTCTTCTGTGAGGCCTATGGAGAACTAGTGCTGAGATCCCTGTGTTTGAGAAACAGGTGAGAAGTAAACACAATCTCATGGCTGTCTGCCTAAGTAGACGTCCAAAATGCTGCCTAGGTAGGTAGGTAGGTATAATTTAGAAACCAGTGCATTTACATCAGTGTGATTGTGTTTTCAGGAATCTTATGATATCCGAAAGGCTGGAAGAGATCAGACAGTTTCAGAGTCTGGAGTGCCTGGACCTCTATGGATGTAGATTAGGTGACAACCATGAGGTTTTTAAGTACATAACCTCTGAAGCCCTGGCTAGGTATGGAAACTTCATCGTCTCATTCATTGGCAACATTTCAGATGGTTTATTGGGTGTACAGTTTGTTTTACTTTGTGATAAAGAGTGACGTCACTTTCTTTTTCCTCTTCACATTTCCTTTTTTGCTGTAGCCTTGTGAAGCTTTTCATAGGTGCAAACTGCCTTTCTGATGCAGGACTGCAGAGACTGAGCGCGCCGGTGAGGGTGATGAAGAAAGGTCTAGAAAATCTGCAGCTTTTGGAACTCTCTGGTAAGTTTATGGATTTGTCTAGTCAGATAAACTACTATTCAAATGTTTGAGGTCAGTATAAATATTTTTTATTCAGCAAGGATGCGAAAGTGACAATAAAGACATTTAGAATGCCTTTACTGACATTTATAATGTTACAAAAGATTTCGATTTCAAATAAATGCTGTTCTTTTGAACTTTCTATTTTCAGTTCAATTCAAGTTTATTTGTACAGCGCTTTTCACGATACAAATCGGTGCAAAGCAACTTTACAGCAAATTAAGTTTCTACGATATTTAGTGGTAGCTTATCAGTGGTGACTGTCAGTTAATGTACATATGGCAGAAATGTACGGAAAAATCAATTTAAGACGTAATAAAACAGACGATGAACACTATTAACAGCAATTATTATATGAAGCAATCAAACTTATAGCAAAATGTGGCTATTTATCAAAGAATCCTGAAAAAAATAAGGGTTTCCCTACAGTATAAAGCAGCATAACTGTTTTTAACATTGATAATAATAAGAAATGTTTCTTGAGCAGCAAATCAGAATATTATAATGATTTCTGAAGGATCATCACTGAGACCTGGAGTAATGACTGCTGAAAATGCAGCTTTACCATCACAGAAATACATTTTATTTTAAAATATATTAAAATGGAAGACAGTTATTGTAAATTGTAATAATATTTTATAATATTACTTTTACTGTATTTTAATAAATGCAGACTTGGTGAGCATAGAAAAAAACTTTTTTTAAAAACTGTGTTTGAATCTCATTACATAAATACTCTCAGTTGCTTTTTATACATAACCACGATGAATGTGATTTTTATGGTAATGCATACTCTTGCCATTTGATTTATTTCTTAACAGAGAATCCCATTACTGAGAAAGGTCTTGGATATCTAACATGCTTTAAAACGCTACAGAAACTGGACATATCTGGGACAAATGTGACGGTAGCACAATTAAAAAGTTAACATCAATGAGTACGTTTTTATGGAGGTCTTGTATAATATTAGAAATCTCTTTTAGGTGAATGTGTCTTTGAAAGGATTCTTCAGAAAGAATATGAGAATGCTCTTATCAGAAACCCCTTTGAAGGAGTTTGGACATTCTGATTGTAAAACAGATGGCTGGGCTGAACAGGTAACAGAGACGCTTTTATGGTATCCATGATGGATATTGGTAATTATGAATGCAATGTTGATGTTGTAAATGTTTTATAATGAGGCATCTCTGTATAACATTCTCTCACTATTCAAATTGTAATCAGGTAATAAACCAATGGGAAATTACAGCTTCTGAAGTACCAAAGAAAGACTACAAACCAAGAACAAATGCTCTCCGTTTCTGTGAGTTTATTCATTTTATCTACATGTTCACTTGATCACAAAATATTATATTACTACTACAAATTTTTGTTATTGTTGTAATTGTTATAATATTCTGAATTTTGATTATTTTCATTTTGTTCTTTAGATGGAAGAGAAAAGTTTGTCCGAGAGACATTAAACTCCTGCTCTGGGATGAGTGACACCACAAAGAAAGACAAAGTTGTGCCGATTCACTTTTATAAGGTTGATCTCTGTGGCACGAGTTCAACAGCAGAACACGACACACTTTCATCAACAGTGGCAGCTGTTCAGAAGGGCAAGAAGAGGAGACCATCAATAGAGGAAGACCAAAGTTCAGCTCCTCTGTCAAAGCGCCAGTCTCTGTCAGCTCTGTCTGCAGAGGACTTAGATCTGTTAAATAGTTATTGAGTGGACACAGACATGTGACATCTTTGCAGCGCATTCCTCTGTAACGAACGTGACACTGAAATGCTTTTAGTTTGGATTCTTCACAATTAAAAACAGCTTCTTTTTTTTTTGTACCCTAGTCTTTTGTACCCTTTTGTTTCATAATACAAATATACTGAGCATGTTTATACAAAATCATTAAAGGGGTCATAGGATGCCCATTTTCCACAAGTTGATATGATTCTTTAGGGTCTTAATGAAAAGTCTGTAACATAGTTTGGTTAAAATTTCTCAATGGTAGTGTAAAAAACACCTTGTTTTACCCTGTCAAAAACAGCTATTTTCAGATCAAGTGGTTTTTGTAGCATTTTCCTTTAAATGTTAATGAGCTCTGCTGACCCCGCCCCTCTCTTCCGAGCTGCTCTCAGAGAGACTGTTTACTTTAGCGGCATTCATCCCGAAACTTCCTAATTAGCACATTATTAGGAAAGGTGATTTTTAAATATTAATTGCAAAACATTATACTCAGTAGGTGAGGCTGGATCATGAATGATTCGCGCGAACATAGGTGCATTTATGTAGATCAGGGGCGCATTCCCTTCAAAAACAAACGTAATCCACTGCGTCTTCAGCGGATCAGATGTCGGGAGTAAATGACGACTGCTATGTTCATTATTACATCCAACAACAGAAAACCTCAATCGCTTAGGAGTCATTCATGTCTACATCTGCTCCGGCGGTGAAACAATGGTGGACTGATGACAGCTCCCTCAGGGTGGGTCTAAGGTTAGACACCAGTCCAGTCTGTGCTGAAACACTACTGTCAATCAAACTATCGTGGGAGGGGCCTGTCTGTGTGAGGTCACACAGACAGGCATCTGAGATCGGCTTGATTTGAGAAAGGGGGAAACATTTAACCAGATTTAAAAAAAAACACTGGGTGGATTTTTATCATTTTAGGGTGGTTGTGTACACACACTGCCAACACACATTTCAGTTCAAACAACTTGTAAAAGTGCATGTAGCATCCTATGACCCCTTTAAGGCTGGAACAGATTTTAAAACATACCAAAACGGTTACAGAAATGACACTAAATGACTGAGGATCACACACACTACCAGATTTTCAAGTCATTGTGGATTACAAAAAAATGCAGAAACACGTGCAAGGAGACGTGACAAATTAATACAATACATGTTCTAAAATTGGCTCAATATCTCAAAAACTGACTGGATGGAATCACGGTCTGAAGCTGAGTTTGTGCCTTTCATACAATATGTACATTTCTGTGAAAGAAGTCAGGTAAAATCTGAACACTGGCTCTGACTTTACTGGCAACTAGCAGTGACTCACCCAGACTGCAAAAATCTGGGCCTTAAGAGAGAACACGTTACAAAATAGGACAAACGGTAGTGTGAACTCATGTCAGCAATATCAGTACATCAAAAGCAGTACAAAACATCTCATAATCCAGTATTTCCCTAAACATTTTCCTTACTTTTAAAAAGATGCGACTCATTAAAGGGGCATTTATGTGTACCCTAGTTTGGGAATCACTGCCATAATCTATTTTAATATATTGCTTCATTTTCAGAAATCTTGGTATTTTTAGCCTGTGATGCAGATGTATTCATCAGATCAGTCGCACAGTGCTGCCTATCGTCCTGACACAGACTGCGGGATATACAGTAACAGTACTGATATAGTGTTATGGAGAAAATCTTTTTGCAAATTTTTTGCAAGATGACAACAAAGCCGAGATGCCAGCTGACCGTCTTTGTACAATTTTATCATCGGTCACTGTCCAATTTGCGTCCAGACCTTTCTTTGATATGGCATTCCCAGTACTTTCCACAACCGTTTACTAGTTTTCCTAACCCTTGCTTTCTTTATAGAAAACTACCTGCTAGTCTGTTTTTCAAAAAATCTCTTATCTACTCCTTTCTGGGTGCCCAAGGTTGCAGAGGCATATACATTTTAGGCTTTTAATGAGCTGTCAGGATTTTAATACGTTTTTCAACATTATCTATTTCTGTACTGCATTTATGAATATAGAATACAGAAGGAAGTACCAGAGCTGGGGCATCCCCCAGCTCTGGTACTTCCTTCTGTATTCTATATTCATAAATGCAGTAACTTACTGAGTAAGGCCTACATAGTTATTTAGTTTGGCCTTGAGGCCTTCAAAATGCACCTGGCTCTCATACATTGCAGAATAGCTTACACAAACATACAAAGTAACTTCTTCAAATGTTTAATACAGGATAAATGATATATTGAATATTTCATCAATAGCAGTACGTTATATCAATATCAATAGTAGTAAGGGTTAGTGCTGTGTTCAAAATATCGATACGACGATGTATCATCACAGAGATTTGACCATATGAGTATCGATACGTGTGCAGCAGTGGACCACGCTTAATTTGTTTAAAATTTTACAACGTTTAAAATTGAGTAGAAAAGTGCGCGGTTTCTATATAAGAATGAATAGAGCATATATAGGCTACAACAAGGTTTAATCTGGCCGCAGAAGAACACAACTGGGTCGCCTGATATTAAGAGACGTAATCCCCGAAACAGAGCTTCACACTTGCGCAATACGGAAATATCTGCCAAGTGTGCTACTTATATTTGTCAACCTGGCAACCCTGTGCACGTGCTCTCTCTCTCCACTGTGGATAAATGCGCTTGCTTTCTGAAAACAGCGGTTAGCTTGCAGTTTAGCGATCTCCACTTCAATACTCTATTCTCAGAAAAGTGTAATTCATCAGCTGTTCATTTACGACATCGAGAAAGAGAAAGAGAGAGAGAGAGAGGGAGAGAGAGAGAAAGAGAGAGAGGCTGTGCATGTATGAATTACCACCGTTTTGCAGCGTTTCTCTATTAACAGTAAAGCTGTGGCTTTAATTCCTTTAGAAACAATGCTGCTACCAGCTCCTTATTGAGAAAGATAATGTAGCTCTTGAGCGATTAAGCTATTTAGTTGATAAAACTGCGGGGAAGCGCTAAAAAGTTTGTTCCTGAATGTCTGAGTGCGACCGCAGCGTGATCTGTGTGTGTGACTGAACTTAACATCAAACTGCTTGTTTCACACAAATGCTGGCACAGACGTGCATGTTCGGCTAGAGTCGCTTTGAACTCGTGCATCTTCGGAAGCAGAGCTGCACGGAAAGTTACAAAACATGTTGTGCACACCGCAACGCGAAACGACATCGCGCGCACTCAAAGCGAACTTGCTGAAGCTCGAGTATAAATCAGCCATAAATCAGCCTTGAGAGTGTGTGCATTAGATACAGTGAAGACAGCGCGTTAGTTTAGAACTCTTCTAAAAAAAAAAAATTATTGTAGAGAGTGTGTTAATTTGTGCAATGATAACCTACCAGCAATGTAAATTATTTTATAAATTTATTAGAATGAGTACATTACAATATAAATTTATTAGAACGAGTACATTATTATTTATGGGCTTAAAAACAAGATGCAAACAATCAGAATATTGTACCTGGTTGGGAGTGCACAATGTAAACATGAAACATATGCCATTACCTATATTGTACTGTGGTACAGTTATGGAGGCCCTTCATAATGCAGAGGTCAACTGCCTGCTCTGCCAATAGTTAGAAATGGCACTATAGTAAGCAGTGTTTAATAAACAGCTGTTTTTCTAAATTCTGCTGAGGTGAAATTCAGTGCAGTCATGTATCGTATCGTGAATTTGCTGGTGATACACAGCCCTAGTAAGGGTGCAGGCCCACCACTCCTCTCCACAGGACAGACATCAGGGCAGAAAAATGAAAATTCTGTCATTAATTACTCACCCTCGTGTTGTTCGAAACCCGTAAGACCTTCTTTCATCTTCGGAACACAATTTAAGATATTTTTGATGAAGTATGAGGGCTCTCTGACCCTCCCATAGACAACTGTAAAGTTACAAAGCTTTACTGTCGTGAACGTGCGATCACTTGTTACAACAACACAAAATAACACTTGGAGGTGTATTAGGGATGCCAAAAACCAAAACCAGCACCACTGCTACTACACTGAAGAACAAACAAGACAGAATGATCCCAATGACACACACAGCCCTTCTAGTGCAGGATCTGCAACAACCTGATGAAAACACTCATTCTGTTCCATCAGCCTCATGGCTAGATATAATGCTTTGCACACTCTGTGTTGTGATCTTCACACTGTAATTAATTTAAACATTAGATAATTTACACAACATTGCAAGAGCAAATTTCTGTATTTGTTTAATAAAAGTACATAGTAATTTTCTATACAGATATATACAGTAGCTATTTATAAGTTTGGGGTCATATGTTTATGTGAAAGTGTCTTATGCTCACCAAGGCTGCATTTATTTGGTGCATTAATTTACAGTAACAGTTTTCTATATTTTATACTTTTAAAATAATTTATTCCTGTGAAGGCAGAGCTGAATTTTCAGCAGGCATTACTCCAGTGTTCTGTGTCACATGATCCTTAAAACATATTTAATATGCTGATTTGCTGATAAAGAAACATTTCTAATTTTCAGTGTTGAAACAGTTGTGCTGTTTAATATTTTTGTGAAAACTGATACTTTTTTTATTCTTTGATTAATAGAAATTGCATAAGAACAGCATATATGTACGGTTCCTTTCAATTAATTTTATGCATCTTTGCTGAATAAATTTATTAATTTCAGGAAAAAAAATACTGACTGCAAACTTTTGAATGATGTCATATGTAACAACATTCAACAGTATTTAGTTTCGATACATTCACTGATTGTGTTTCTGTTCAGAAAGAGAAAGGAACTCTCAGTTAGAGAAGTACATCTTTCCTTCCTTTTCTGTTTCAGTTCTCTCTAATGTTGGTATACCAGACTGTCTCAGCTTGAAAAAAAATCTTCTCAAACAATACAGAAGAATAGATAACAATAATCCTAATTCAACTAACTGTCATTAAAGACCTATGTAACCTAATTTCCTTACTCAAGGTTGGCTCCTGTTGGTATTTACTTAAAAAAATGATAACGTGCAATTCTTACATCTGGTATTCAGAAACATAGTCTTCAGAAGCCTATATAAATGGTCAGAAGAGTGTTACAAGATGGTAACTTGCTAACAACATCAGCACTTCTATCAGCACATAAAATCTTTGTCAGCATTGACATGCCCACACAGACAAAAATCATGTCAGGTTTGACTAGTCCAAACAAATGACAAAATACACACTAAAACCCTGCACTATAACTCTATCCATTTAAAGGGGTCATATGATGCTGCTAAAAAGAACATTATTTTGTGTATTTGGTGTAATGAAATGTTTATGCGGTTTAAGGTTCAAAAAACACATAATTTTCCACATACTCTACATTATTGTTTCTCCTCTATGCCCCGCCTTTCTGAAACGCATCGATTTTTACAAAGCTCATCGGTCTGAAAAAGCGAGGTGTGCTGTGATTGGCCAGCTATCCAGTGCGTTGTGATTGACTGAATACCTCAAGCGTGTGACGGAAATGTTATGCCCCTCACCATATTGTGATGCCCTGTCCAGCCGGAGCGACGACACAAAAACATTAAAACCCATTACAAACGAGGCATTTGTTGCATCCAGTGGGGACATAATTACGGATTATAATGACTTATACTGTCTTTTTACGCGTTGCATTGCGCCGCGTAAACATAAAACCATGTCTGCATTTGTGATCGGAGAAATGACAAACAACCAATGCTACTCTACACTGCTCAAAACTCACGTTTGAATCGTCAGTGGCAAATTCTTTAAATATAAAAACGTACTTACAGTCTGTGAGTCAGAACAGCCGGCATTGTAGTCTACTCTTCCAGGATCAGGAAACAGTCCTCCATAAAATGCGCTGGACACATCTGAATATTTGGATTGAAGTGTTCTGGAACAGTGTTGTAAATACAACTTAACCACTGATTTCTAGTCGTGTCCTCTTTTGGAAGGCTAAACAAAGTAGTTTCGCTTTCACAGCGAAACACAGCGTCACACACGGCGGGCTAGAGTGAGCGGAGGCCTGAGGCCCTAGAGTGAGCGGTGGTGGGCGGGCTTGCGGCAACCACATGTGACGACCCCGGGCTGGACTCCACTTCGTCCACAGTGAAAGCTGATCCGGTGATCCACAGCGTGAAGTTGATGTATTTCCTCAGCGACCAGCTCCAGGCATGACGAAGCTGATATCGTCCTCTTTTGGAAGGCCAAACAAAGTAGTTTCGCTTTCACAACGAAACACACAGTGCCTTCACGACATGGAGGCGGCGGCTGCAATAATACTACAGCGAGCATAAAAGGTATGCCTTCTTATGCAAATCTTCCCAGATAGTGACGTAGACATGTGGGGGCATGTTAGAACGAGCCGTGTTAGGTAGGTGTGGTTGAATCTTAATTTTTATAAAGAATATATTTTTGCAGATTTTGCAACTTTACAGATCTTCTTTATGCACCAAGAACTTGTAACACTCCAAAGAGAAAGGAAAAATTGACGTGAGAACAGAACACTTTTTAGTAGGTTTGTTTATTAATATTTAGATGACAAATCTGAGAGGTCGCAAAACAACTTCATTTACAATGCCTTTATTGACTTTACGACTCTCGTAAACTCTCTATTCGTCTCTATGGCAGTTCAAGAAATTTCCACTCCCTGCAGCAGAGATATCTTGTACTAAAGCATAAATCAAAACGTTAATGTCATTGTGCAACACGTCGTACCTCAAATCACAAGCTGTTACTGATCACATTGAGAACACTTAAAAACGAATAAGGGAAACAAGAAGACTTCATCTCTACAAATGGGCAGTAAACAGAAAAACTCAGATCCTACAGAGCTTTCAGTCTGATAGGTAATGCCTTTAAAGTGCCAAAACATCAACAGAATATATTCCCCACAGTCCACGCTTCTCAAATTTTAAAAAAGGAGAACCAAGAAACCCATAGTCAATGCGTTTGAAGCTATAACCACACCTCTGAAAGAGAAAACCAAAAGCTCAATTTCTTTGGATGCTAGACTGGTTAAATGTTAGACTGGTCCAGATTGACCTTTGATGGAAGAGGTCCAGCTTCCTGCTCCTCCACACCTGGCGATCTGATGATCACCAGAGAGGACTGCAGATACGGGGTCAGTTTCTGATCCTTCATGTACTCCATATCCCCATATATGCTTAGCTTCTGTTAAAAGGAGGAGAACATTTGGATGAGTTGGTTAAACATAACCAACTAACCAATAATTAAAAAACATGAAGATGAGTGAATGTGAAGTGGTTTACATCAGCGGGGACGTACTGCTCAACAGCAGTGGACACTGTGGCACAACAAATCCAGATCAGAACCAAGACAGACAGAACCAGAGTGGTGGTCAGGATCCAGCCAGGCAGCCACGGGTTCCTACCGGTACAAAAAAACCCAGGATTGCTTCATATTCAACAAGATCAACAGACTGCAACAAATCAATAGAGATTAAAATCCAGATCAACATGTGACCGACCTTGAGAGACAGCTGAAGAGGTTGTAATCGTCCTCAGAGTTGCTTCGATCGATGAACATGTCTCTGTCTCTCTCCTGAATGTAGCTTCTTGGGTAGTCTTTATAAATTGGGTTTTTCATTTCCTGATCTACAACTATTAATAATACAAGGGGTCCAATATCAGTGTTGAGATCTTGAAACTACTTCTGTTAAGAGAATGATGCTAAGATGATGTTGTGGGAAGTGACACAGTTAAGTCAGCCTTTGCTGACCAATCATGACTGTTATTACATATTTACAGACTTCATAACATGACATCTTAAAACTACAGTATGTCATTTTTGTGCCACTAGCAGCAGCAAAACACACGTTCCTCGAAATAAAAGGTAGTCTTGGCTCAAAACCTGACCAATTAGTTGAGCAAATGCTGTTATACTGGGGAGCCAAAACAAGTAGGCAGTAAATTTGCTTGGTCCTACTAATGGCACAGATATCACACGCTCAACTTCAATGTCATCAAGAGATTAAAGTTCACCTGTTTCCGGTTCTCTAAGCATATGTTATTGATCTTATTGTGAACGGTTCATCCATGCATGTTTATAAATTATATATATAATATATATATATTAGTGTTGTCAAACGATTAATCGCAATTTATCACATCCAAAATAAAAGTTTTTGTTTACATAATATATGTGTGTACTGTGCGCGCGTGTGTGTGTGTGTGTGTGTGTACATATGAAGATGATTTTAGTATATATATTAAAAAAATTTGGGAGCTCATATTTTTTTTTATCAAAATGTAATAACTGGATCATCCAGTGAAATTACAAACTTCTCTCTGTGATACATGTCAGATTCTTCAATCATTTAATCTGCTTAAATCCCACCCCTTTCTTACAATCAACCTCAATTTTGCATTCAGATCCACTTCCAGCCAATGAACAACTGAACAACCACTTTAACATATATGATATTATGATTATTAAAGTCTGAAAACATGTAAAACAGTCATTAAGTGACACTTTCCAAAGCTTGCTTAATAATCATAGAGGAAAACATTGTGTGTGTTATGTGAAGTGCTCACAAGTGCTCTGTGACTCCTCAGTCTCGTCTCTCTGGAATTCAAACTGAGGGATAAACTGAACTTGCGGCTCGGACTAGAAATGAGACAAAGCAAAAATCTTGATCAATGGCACTTTAGAAACAAGTTTTACTTCTTACTTTGCACAAGAGATGTCCAAATGTTTTACCACGAAGGGCCAAAATACATCATCGTGACATTACCTGGAAAATGACCACTTTGCCATCATCTGCCTGGAGGTAAAATGTCCAGGATGAGGTGATGAAGCTGTGAGCTTGGCTCATCATGTCTTCCCAGAAACCCCTCACCAGAGACAGTGGGTACAGGAGATGGATCCTGGGCATCATGGTCAACAACTTCCCACCAAAACAAACAAACAGTGATTTCAAATAGCACACTGGTGAAATTCAAGTAGAACTGACGATTGAAAGACAGTAAACATGTAAAGCAATTATTCAAACGTTTTTCACACCTCCTCTATTCTTTGCTCTGCAAATGGCTGTTGACTCTGGCATCCTAGATTGCATGCATACTGCTCCTCTGACTGGGTGTAGGCTTCACGACAGGCTGCAGGAAGTCAAGCACACACAAACACACTGTTATCAACACAAAGATAAGCAATGCTGTAAGGACTCAGACAGACAATACTTTAATATTACCTGACTCGCATTCAGCTTTGGTTTCGTTGAGATCCTTGCTGTCACCCACGAACTGACAGATGGAGAAGAGACGACATCCTCTCTCACAGGCATACAGCGCCTCCTCCTAATCACAAAACAAACAGGCCAAATAAAGAAACGCGTCTAATTCCGCTTTCCTCATTGTTATTGTTCTAACATTACAACGCACAAGCTCCTAAAAACGCACACTAACGACCGGCTAAAAATCTCAATAGCGTTTCTTTGTTAGTAAACAGCCGTAACTGGTTCAGTGTCTCGCACTCACCCGTGGATAAGTGTGCAAACTGTAAGTCATCTGACATGTTTTATGACAAGACGCCGTGTTTCCCAAAACACCATCGAAGACGTCGGAAGATGCATATGTGCTCGTGAGTATGCAGCAAAAACTCATCAAAATCCCGCAGGACTTTATTGCACTCATTTTTGGGAATTACCAAACATGGACTAAACGATTCTTCCTTGTTTGTGTACTTGCGGAAATGTCGTCGTGAGATCGGTGTCTACGCACTTCCTATATTGCGCGAGCGCCGTGAACTCATTGCATAAACATGCATCAGTAGTTTTAACAGGGGTTTTCAGTCTACGGTCCCTGAAAATGTTTAGGGAGGTAAAAACATAAACATAGGATTGAACTAAATAACGATTTTGTACAAAATGACAAATGTACTCACAAAAACTAATTTAAACAATACATCTAATAGTACAGTACTACATTACATTTACATTTAGCAGACGCTTTTATCCAAAGTGACTTACAAATGAGGACAATAAAAGCAGTCAAAACTAACAAAAGACCAACAATATATAAGTGCAAATGACAAGTCTCGGTTAGCCTAACGCAGTACACGTAGCAAGGTATATATATTATACACACACACATACACACACACAAAGAAAAACAAGTAGATAGAATAGAAAAAAATAGAAAGCTAGTGTTTTTGTTTTATTAAAAAAAAGAAGATAAATATAAAGTATAATTAAAATAGAATAGAAAGTGCTAGAATTAGAGGGTCAAATAAAGGTGGAACAGATGTGTTTTTAGTCGTTTCTTGAAGATGGTTAAGGACTCAGCTGCTCGGATTGAGTTGGGCAGGTCATTCCACCAGGAGAGAACAGTTAATGAAAAAGTCAGTGAAAGTGATTTTATTTTTATCCGTGATAAGCATCCTCAGTTCCCTAGTCTCCCAACTACAACTCCCTTGGACTCTTTCCTAGAACCGAGGTCTATTGGTAAAGGGATGATTTCATATATTTATGACAAAATATGTTCCCTACATAGAAGTTCACTAACATCTATAAAAATAAATTTATCAGAAGATATTCCAGACGAATTATGGGAAAGTATCTTATACAGAGTACATTCCTCATCTTTATGTGCCAATCATGGTTGGATCCAATGCAAAATACTCCACCGTACCCATTGGACTAAGGTCCGACTCTCTAAAATTTACTCTGATGTTGATCCTATCTGTGACCGTTGTCGTCAGAGTCCGCAACCTTGGCACATATGTTCTGGTTCTGCCCAAGTTTACATGGATATTGGGTTCAAATATTTGAGACAATATCTCAGGTAGTTGGGATAATAATCAAACCTGTAGCGATAACAGCACGCTTCGGTACACTTTCCTTACCAGTTCATCACATAGGTTACAAGGCAGATTCTGTGGCCTTTGTAGCATTTCTGGCTAGACGTTTGATTCTAATGCATTGGAAATCATCTATGTCGCCTACCCACTCAATGTGGATTAAAGAGATTTTTCACTTTATCAAACTGGAATTGATTAGACATTCACTGAAGGGCTCTTCAAATAACTTTTATAAAATTTGGGGCTCTTTTCTTGAGTATATGGAAACGTATACCCTCCTGCTCAACTGAAAATAATGATTTTATTCAATTTTCCCCTAGTTGGTGACCACACTTGTATTATGTGGTGTTTAATTTTCTCTTATTAGCAGGCACAAGTGCAGAATGTGTTTTTATTTATTTATTTTTTGGGTGGGGTGGAGGGTTGCTGATGGTAATTTGTGTATTTGTTTTTAGGGATAACTAATTGCGCTTTACTACTTGGGGATAATTTATTGTATCTGTTATTTTGATAGTTTCTTAGTTTCCTATTTTTCATTCAGATCCCTTTTCTTTATACCTACCTAGTGTTAAAATGTTATCTAAACTGTATAGTTGAAATATTGAAAAAAAATTGTAAATAAAGTGAGGAAAGAAAAAAAGAAAAGAAAAAAAGGGCCTGATCTTCCTAATGTTGTATAAAGCAAATCTGCAGGACCGGGCAGTTTTAGCAATGTGGTCTGAGAAATTCAGCTTATCATCAATCACAACTCCAAGGTTTCTAGCTGTTTTTGAAGGAATTATGGTTGAGGAGCCTAACTGGATGGTGAAATTTTGATAAAGTGAAGGGTTTGTTGAAACCACAAGCAGTTCTGTCTTAGCCAGGTTGAGTTGAAGGTGATGGTCCGTCATCCAACAAGAAATGTCTGTTAGACATGCTGAGATGCGAGCAGCTATCGTCGGATCATCAGGATGGAATGAGAGATAGAGTTGAGTGTCATCAGCATAGCAGTGATATGAAAAGCCATGTTTCTGAATGACAGAACCTAGGGATGCCATGTAGACAGAGAAGTGGTCCAAGAACTGAGCCCTGAGGCACCCCAGTAGCTAGATGTTGTGACTTGGACACCTCACCTCTCCAAGATACCTTGAAGGACCTATCTGAAAGGTAAGACTCCAACCACTGGCATGCGGTTCCTGAGATGCCATTTTCCTATAGGGTTGACAGGAGAATCTGGTGGTTCACCGTATCAAAAGCAGCAGACAGATCCAGCAAAATAAGTATAGATTTGGAAGCCGCTCTTGCCAGTCTTAGGGCTTCAACAAATGAAAGAAAGGCAGTCTCGGTCAAATGTCCACTTCTGACATTTGGTTGCGGTCCAGGAGGTTGTTCTGTGTGAGAAAGGCTGAGACTTGGTTGAACATCTCGTTCAAGTGTTTTTACAACGAAAGGTAGAAGGGAAACCAGTCTGTAGTTCTCCAAAAGAGTTGGGTTAAGAGTGGGTTTCTTAAGAAGTGGGGTTATACGAGCCCGTTTAAATGTTGAGGGAAAAACACCAGTGTGAAGGGATGTGTTAACGATGTGAGCGAGTGCAGGTACAACGGCAGGAGAAATGGCTTGAAGGTGAGATGGAATAGGATCAAGTGGACAAGTAGTAGAATAATTGGAAAGGATGAGTTTAGAGACTTCTGCCTCAGAGAGTGGAGAGAAGGATGTACTATAGCGAATACTAAATTTTCCAAATGTATAAATTAATTTATTTAATTTTAGGATGATCATATCTGGGGGTCCATGGCATTTAAAAGATTGAAAACCCCTGGCCTAGAATGCAACTTTTATAAAATATCTTAAAATAAGTTAGCTATTTTAATACACTCAGTTTAAAATATTTATTTGGGATGTATTCACATAAAACTAAGCCATTTCAAAGAAGAGTCACATAAATTGTGTCTTTATTGAAAAGCAAACATCTATACAACTGAAACTTACGCTAGTTTAATTTAAGTCAGTTTCAAGGGATCTAAAAACAATGACCAAAAAAAAAAAAAATGATAAGACAATAGTTTTCATGTTGACGGAGGATTGCCCCAACCACTGCAGTTATTTTCTTTTTGGACACTTTGAACATCAAAGGAAGCTCCTAAATGACATTATAAAACACCCTATATATAACCCTTGAACACTGTTCTTCAATGTGAGTGAGCTTCAAAAGGAGGGGTGAAAGAAGGAATGTCCTTCACACTGATTTACAGAACAAATTTGAGGCACAAAAGACAACCCAGGCATCTTCCCATAATAGCCAGAAGTCTCAGTGTTTGCTTTTTTTGGATTTCTTGTGAAAACGGTGAGGCGATCGTGACCGCGATCTGGATTTCTTTGAGGATTTTTTGGGTGTTCTCGACCTGGACCTGCGCGACCTCTTAGGTGTTCTTGGGGGTGAAGGAGACCTAAAATAATTTTTCAAAATGAGATGCTTTATTACTTTCATAATTTATTGCGTCCATAACCATGCATGTACTGACAGACAAAGACAAGAAAAGACAAGCCACAGGATTGAGTTTTAAGCTGTGACAATGAAGATTAAGAGAGGATACTATTAGTTTACCTTTTAGATGACTTGCGGTTACTTTCTCTTGGAGAGTCTTTATAAGACGATCGAGAGCTGTCTTTTGTATAGGATCTATCGGAGCGCTCTGATCGTGGTGAGGGCGACCTGCCGCGCCTACTGCTGCTACTTCGGGTGGGACTGGGGGAGGGACTATGCCTCCGTTTTCTGGGAAGGAAATCAAATGTATTCAAAAATGTCTCTATTTCTTAAATCCTGAAGTAATGTTGAGGTATCTTACTTTTCTTTTCTGCCCGGAGTGGTGTCATCTTTGTCCTTCTCTTTGTGGGACACATCAGATTTCTCTTTGTCTTTTCTCTCTTTTTCTTTCTCTTTGTCTTTCTCTGTCTCTTTCTCCTTCTCCTTCTCCTGAAAAAAAAAAATAAAAATAGTGGTTTCCAACTAAATAGTAAAGTAATACCAAAGACAAAACAAGCAAAAAAATTCATACTAACCCGCTGTAGTAGCTTGTCCCGGTAAAGCTCTACTTGTTCTTGAATACTCGGTACAGATTTTTTGGGTCGTTTTCCAGATTCAAGCTCATCTTGAAACTTCATGACTTTAAGCTACAACAGACAAAGAAAAATGAGTGAGATCTCTTAACAGCTTTCAAGCATGTGAAGAATTATGTTTAGTACATTTAGCATTTAGGTATACCTCGATTTCTCGTAGTTTGGCACGTTTCTCCTCGCTCATCTCAGAAAACTTAGCAGACTTTAAATCGTATTCTTCTCTAACAGGATTACTGTAGGACTGCTGGTCTGTAGCGCTGGAGCTTTTGAGAGAGTCTTTACTCTCAGTTTCCCGTGTTGCACTATGACAAGAATGTGAAAATGAGTTAAAAACATGAATTTCATCCTACAAAACCCAACAATTAGGGTTCCCCCACCTATAAGAAATTTCAGAAATAATTTTACAGAGATTGCACTCACACTAGAGCTGGGCGATATGGCCTAAAAAAAAAATTCCGATTTACAATTTAAATCGACCCCCCCCCCCCCCCCCCCCCCCCCCCCCCCCACCCCCAACCACCCGACCCACAACACCAACC